GCGCGGGCCGCGGTCCGGCACGTTTCCCGGGAAGTTGCTTCCGCGCCGCCGTCCTGTCCTGCGGCGTTAAAAGCGTGGGAAGCGTGAGTTGGGCCTGGACCTGCCTGGGTGGGTCCGAATCCCAGCGCCGCACGCGCGGTCTTGCCACCTCCAGCTTGTTTACTCCGAGCTTCGCGTTCCCGCGGCCACACGAGGGTCCTTGAACTCATCTCGTTTGGCCGCGGTCGTTTAATGCGGAGCAGGCCCAGTGCCCCTCCTGTGGTGACCGTTTGACTCGGAAGGCGGGGGTTGTTGTCAAAGCCACACAACTGCTGATGAGTGGCCATGGCTGCTCCAAGTTTCGAGTTACTTCTGCCGTTCCAGGGTAACGTGGCAGTCTGGAGACAGGCAAGCCCTCTTCTCCGTGAGCTCTTGGTTCTTATGCACCAGCGGGTCTCACGGTTTTTGTTCTCAGGACTCCTTTGTCCTGAAAATCATCGAGAGCCTTAGAATCATTATATGACTTACAGCTGTGCACTTTATTAGAAATTAAAGCAGAAAATTAAAAACATTGAGGTAGAAAATAACTAATAAACACAGAACATGTTAACATAAATAACTTTAATAAATATTCCTAAACAAAAGAAAATAGCACAGGTGGCAGTGTTACTTAGTTTTGCAAGTCTCTTTACTTTATGGTGTTATGGAAGACAGCTGGATTCTCACACCCATTTTTTTTTTTTTTTTTTCTGGGGATCGAACTCTGAACCTTGCATTTAGAAGGCAGGTGGCAGCACCACTGAGCTAAATCCTCAGCCCCTCACACCCAGTTTTTAAAATTCAGCCTTGTCAGGTACCTTCCTGAAGCTTCTCCCAATTGTGAATGAAAGTGGAAAAGGCAAAGTTTTATGTTGCTATAAAAATGGTTTACACCCACAGACTTAAAGAGTCTCTGAGGTCCCCAAAGTTACCTGGACTACACCACTTTATGCACTATTGCTTCAAGCAAATGTCATCTTTCATCCTTAAAAATAACTTTCTCAGCATAGCAGCTTACTCTGCCTGCTGTCATACTGCTTTTTGTATCCATCTCCACTTCCTGCTGAGCAGGTTCCTTCTGTGTGGCTGATGGTCACCCTACAAGCACTGTCCTCTTCCATTGATGTAGCAGCTATCTGGAGACACTTGAAGTTAATGCAATATTGTTCATTAAGGACATAGATTAACAAGTTTTTCAATCTGGTATTGATAGTCTTTTAAATAAATGACAGTTGCAATTAAATATTAGCTGGTGATAGATTTTTGTTTTTCAAAGTAAAATCGGTTTAATTTTTCATTATAAAAGCATTATTAGCACCTGGCACAATGATGCATGCCTGTAATCCCAGCTACATGGGAGGCTTATGCAAGAGAACTGCAAGATCCTTTCTCAAAAAATACATTAAAAATGCCTGTAATAAAAAGTTAAAGACATACACAGTGATGTATGATACCCGATTTATAGCAGCACAATTAATAATCACAGCCTGTATGTCCATCAACAGATAATTGGATAAAGAATATGTGCTATTTATACCCAGTGGAGTATTACTCTGCCATAAAGAAGGATAAAGGAGTCATTTGTAGGAAAATGGATGCTCCTTGAGGCCATAAAGTTAAGTGAAATAAATCAGACATAGGCCAAGAAGGAAAAAAGATACTGTAATCCAGCATGGACAATGTTAAAAGACTACCTAGATTTAGTATAATTCTCTTACGTGTTTTATGTTTTTTTGCCTGTTAGTCTGGCTGTTGATCTGTATGTTATGATAATTTTATAAGGACTTACAAAGATCGAACTCTGAACCTTGCATTTAGAAGGCAGGTGGCAGCACCACTGAGCTAAATCCTCAGCCCCTCACACCCAGTTTTTAAAATTCAGCCTTGTCAGGTACCTTCCTGAAGCTTCTCCCAATTGTGAATGAAAGTGGAAAAGGCAAAGTTTTATGTTGCTATAAAAATGGTTTACACCCACAGACTTAAAGAGTCTCTGAGGTCCCCAAAGTTACCTGGACTACACCACTTTATGCACTATTGCTTCAAGCAAATGTCATCTTTCATCCTTAAAAATAACTTTCTCAGCATAGCAGCTTACTCTGCCTGCTGTCATACTGCTTTTTGTATCCATCTCCACTTCCTGCTGAGCAGGTTCCTTCTGTGTGGCTGATGGTCACCCTACAAGCACTGTCCTCTTCCATTGATGTAGCAGCTATCTGGAGACACTTGAAGTTAATGCAATATTGTTCATTAAGGACATAGATTAACAAGTTTTTCAATCTGGTATTGATAGTCTTTTAAATAAATGACAGTTGCAATTAAATATTAGCTGGTGATAGATTTTTGTTTTTCAAAGTAAAATCGGTTTAATTTTTCATTATAAAAGCATTATTAGCACCTGGCACAATGATGCATGCCTGTAATCCCAGCTACATGGGAGGCTTATGCAAGAGAACTGCAAGATCCTTTCTCAAAAAATACATTAAAAATGCCTGTAATAAAAAGTTAAAGACATACACAGTGATGTATGATACCCGATTTATAGCAGCACAATTAATAATCACAGCCTGTATGTCCATCAACAGATAATTGGATAAAGAATATGTGCTATTTATACCCAGTGGAGTATTACTCTGCCATAAAGAAGGATAAAGGAGTCATTTGTAGGAAAATGGATGCTCCTTGAGGCCATAAAGTTAAGTGAAATAAATCAGACATAGGCCAAGAAGGAAAAAAGATACTGTAATCCAGCATGGACAATGTTAAAAGACTACCTAGATTTAGTATAATTCTCTTACGTGTTTTATGTTTTTTTGCCTGTTAGTCTGGCTGTTGATCTGTATGTTATGATAATTTTATAAGGACTTACAAGATAAATGAGTGACTGATGCTGGCAAAAAAAGGGGCAGGGGAGAGGAAAAGAATTGAGGTGTGTTACGTATGTATACCAATTTCCCACAATGAATGTAATCATTATGTGTGTGGTTTTTTTTTTTGTTTTTTTTTTTGTGCGTGTGCAAGAGATGGAACTCAGGTCCTTGTGCTTGCGAGTCAGATGGCAGAACCACTGATGGCAAATCCCCTGCCCTAATCATTATGTACTGAAACATGTACTAATAAAAAGTTTTTTTAAAAGCTGGTAGTATAGCTCAGTGCAAGGCCTGGGTTCAATCCCTTGTACCACAAAATAAATACACAACTACCATATTGGGTGGAAAAATTCAAGCATGTTATAACCAAAGAAGGAAGTAAGACTAATTCCAAATCCATTAACAATTACCACTACATAGTAAATATTCTTCTAAGGATCATTGCATGAAATACATTTACAATACTTTAAATTAAAAATAAATTATATCTTTTAATTTATTGGTAACACTCATTGGTAACAATATCATATTTTTAATATCAGCATATGAATTTGCAGTTATTCAGCTTTTGGTATATATTTAAGTGACTGTTGTGTACCAGTGGTAGACAACTGCTTGCTTTGGATGATGATGATTTCTCACATAAAGACTTCAGGGATATTAGGTCAGCTAACAGTGATCTGACACCTTCATAAATAAGAGGTAAAAAGTAAATAGTGTTTGAGGGAGGAACATATAACTCATGAAGAGTTAAATGTGTTCAAAAGAGGGAGATAGAATTTCCTACTTTGAGAGAAGGAAAAGCATGGAAATGTGGCTTAACAATTGGAAAATTTTAGCATTAAAGATAAACATGGATTCTGTGAGTTGAGATGGCTTAAGCAATAGTGAAGATAAAGTTTGGGAAGAACAAGAGGCATAAGGAGGAAATAATGTGTAGCTTATTAATGATACTGTTTAAGTTCTTGGTACTATGCCCTGTACATGAATTATGTCATTTACTCTTCAGTACTAGGAGGTAGGTACTAAAACCTACCCTGTTTTAAAGAAAACTTAAGAAAATTGTCTAGAATCACACAATAAGTGATAGGAATAGGATTTGACATCATTCTTGCTTTTAAATGTATACTCTCTGTAGAGACATTTAAACATGCAGGAGTTGAGAAGCATTGTAGGAATCTGAGCTGGGATGTGATAAGGTCCGTGCTTTTAGGAAGATTAATTTGGCATTTGTCTATTTTGCTCAGTATGATTTCTTGCTCATATGTCAGTTATGACACGTCAGTTTAATAGTTAATGTGATTCTTATTTTACTGCACTCATGGTGCTAGTGTACTTATCTCCCTATCATCCAACATTTAGATTTTGGTGGTAAAATGTTTATCACTTCTGAGAGATTCATCTGAATAGACAATACCTTCTTGCATTTCTGTTTTCCATGTACCATATTTTAGGAGCAGCAAATGGATTTCTCATGGAAGTGTGTGTGGATTCAGTGGAGTCAGCTGTGAATGCAGAAAGAGGAGGTAAGAAATTAGAGAATGAGGGATAGTTGGGGTCAAATCCTTTTAAGGGTCAAAAAATGGATACTGTGAACTGACTTCAGAAGCCCTCATAATCTATAAGGATCCTACTAATTTTTTCAAAAACAACCAACTAAAAACCTACTGGAAAATTATGGTCTAGTCTCCTTCCTACCTATGCAGGTCACATTTGAATCATGTTCACAATCATGCACACTCATTAACTGGATTGTTATTGAACATAGTAAAAAATTTTAAATTTCTATTGGTTTAAACCTGGTTTTATAGGAATTTTGGAGTGTAGCTGAGTGGTAATCTTCTTGCCTAGCATGCACAATTCCCTGAATTCAAGTCCAAGCAACCCCCTCCCCCAAATTCAAATCAGAGACATTATTTTTACCCTAGTGTTTCTTTTATACGCGGTTTTAATAGGAAGTATAGGCATTTTTCATCACCTCATGGTCAGAAAAATTTAAATGTTTTTTTATTATGGAAAAGCTTCAAACATACAATTATAAAGTAGTATAATGGACCCTCAGGTCCTCATCACTCACCTTCAACCATTTTTCTTTCAACTCAGCTCTATGAGTGGGTGGGTATCTGCTTTTTTTTCAGTAAAGAGCCAGCAGTAAGTACATATATTCATCCTGGTTGGGCATTTTTGGCTTTTGTCATTTTTAAAATTGGTGCATTTTAGATATACATAATGATAACATCCAGCAAGGGAATTTGTACCTGTACATGATGAATCTTCTTTCTTGCCCATTCCCTTCTCCTTTAAGCCTCTCTTCTCCTCCTTATTTACAAAAGCTTTGTTTCCATTTTGTTCCTTCTGTTCTTTTTTTGTCTCATCCTTCACCCCCCCACTTGTTCCCTTTCTATTTCTCAATATTTATTATGCATTTTGGTCCTTATTTGCATTTTCAGTTTCTCACACCAGTGCAATATTTAAACATGTATCTGATTTATTTCACTTTAGGGTATGGTCTCAAGGTGCATCCATTTTGCTAGAAATATCTCAAGCTTATCTTTTTATATGGCAGAGTAGTGCTACATTGTCTAAAAAAAAATACATCTTTATCCCTTCATTGGTTAATGGGCATTTGTTTGGGCTGTTTCTGAGATTTAGCTATTACAAACTGTGCTGCTGTAAACATGGGTTTGCATATACTGATGTGGTTTGATACCAAGAAGAGGAATAGAGAGGTGTAATGGAACTTCTATTTTTTGTTTTTCGAGGACTCTCCACACTGATTTCCCTTGTGGTTGCACCAGTCTACACTGCTAACAACAATAAAGAAAAGTTCCTTTTCCCCATAGCCTGCCAGCATTTGTTATTGGTTGATTTCTTGACAACAGCCATTCTTTTTGGAGTGAGATAGAATTTCAGAGTTGTTTTAATTTGAATCTCTTGAATGACCAGTGATGTTGAACATTTTTCATATATTTATTTGCTGTTTTTACTTCATCTGAGAAGAATCTATTCATTTGAGATTCCCATTTTTGATTGGGTCTTTAAATTTGAGGGGTCTGATTTTCTTTTTTAGTTCTTTATATATTCTAGATAGTAGTGCTTAGGCTGAAGAACAGCTGGCAAAATTTCCCACACTCTGTGCTGTTTCTTCACACCATCAGTGGTTTCTTTTGCTGGGTAAAAGATTTTTAATAAGATGAGATCCTAGTTATTATTCCTTTCTCATATTTCCTGTGTGATCAAGGTTTTATTCATAAAGTCTTTGCCTATACCAATGTGTTCAAGAGTTCTACCTATCCCGTCACATTTTGTGTTTCGGGTTTAATATTTAGATCTTTGATCCATTTCAGTTTTGGTTTTGTGCATGGTGAAAGATATGGATCTAGATTCAATGTTTGGCAAGTGGAAAGCCAATTTTTTCAGCCTCATTTATTAAAGGTTATCTTTCTTCCAGTGAAGGTGTTTGGCTCCTTTGTCAAAGGTAAGATAGCTGAGTGTGTTTAGAGTTCTTTCTACATCTTCTAATCTGTTCTATTGATTCTCAGGTCTGTTTTTTTGTTTTGTTTTGTTTTTGCCAGTTCCGTGCTGTTTTTATCCCAGTAGCTTTGTAGTATAATTTAAAGTCAGGGATTATGATGCCTCCTGTCTTGTCTTTGTTGCCCAGAATTGCTTTTGCTATTCTGAGTCTCTTCTGATTGCAAGTGAAATTTAAGATTGTTTTCTCTAATTCTGTGAGATATGCTGTTGGTATTTTGATCAGAATTGCATTAAATCTGTATAATAGTTTTGGAAGTATGGCCATTTTCAGTATATTGGTTTTTATACAACAACAAGGAATATCTTTCCATTTTCTGATAGCCTCTTCGATCTTCTTTTTCAGAGTATTATAGTTTTCAGTGTAAAGGTCTTTTACTTCCTCCATTAGATTGATTCCTAAGTATATCATTTTTTTGATGCTATTGTGACAGTTGGTTTTTGCTTAATTTTTATCTCAGTGAGTTATTTGTCTACAGGAATGCTATTGAATTTTGAATGTTGACTTTGTATTTTGCTCTGCTACTGAATTTGGTTAGTAAATCTATTGGAGTTTTTGGGGGCTTCTATATAGGTTATCATATCATCCACAAATAATGATAATTTAAACTTCTTCTTTTCCTATCCTTCTTTTATTTCTTTCTTTTTTCTAATTGCTCTGGCTGCTGTTTCCAGGACTATATTAAATAAGTGGTGATAGTGGACATCTTTTCTTGTTCTTGATTTTAGAGTGAAAGCCTTCAGTTTTTTATCCCTTTCAAATGATTTTGGCTGTTGGTTTGTTGTAGATGGCTTTTATCAGATTAAGATATTTTCACCACCTGCCTCGCAAGTGTAAGGTCCTGAGTTCAATTCCTGGTACAAAAAAAGAAAACAACAACAACAACAACAAAAAAAACAAAACAAAAAAGCATAAACAGATTGAGATAAAGACCATCTATTCCAAATTTCTGTAGGATTTTTATCATTCATGTACATTAGACTTTGTCAGATGGTTTTTCTACATCTATTGAGATGATCATATAATTTTTGTCTTTGGCTCTGTACATATAACATGAACAGGGTATAGTTCACATAGTATGAACAGAGCCAATTCACTTATTGACTTGTGTATGTTGAAATATCCCTGCATCCCTGGGATGAATCCTACTTGGTCATGGTGCATAATCTTGATGATATGCTGCATTCTGTTTGCCAGTATCTTATTGAGGATTTTTGTGTCTGTGTTCATTAGGAGATTGGACTGTAGTTCTCTTTTTTGCTTGAGTCTTTCTCTGCTGTTGGTATTAGGGTAATGCTTGCTTCCTGGAATGAATTTGGGACTATTGCTTTCCTTTCAATTCCACTAAAGGATTTGGGAAGTAGTGGCATTAGATCTCTAAATTTCTTGTAGATTTCAGTGGTGTATCTGTCAGGGCCTGGGCTTTTCTTTATTGGTAGGTTTTTTAAATTACATCTTCAGTTTCATTGGCTAATATAGATTTGAGTCTACTTTTTTATAAGGTTGGTTAAGGGTCTGTCAATTTTATGTAATCTTTCAAAGAACCAACTCTTCAATTCTTGTGTTGTTTTCTTAATCTGCATTGCATTAATTTCTGATCTTTATAATTTCCTCCTTTGTATGAGCTTTGGGCTTGTCTCTTTTTCTAGAAGCTTAAGGTTCAACACCTCAAGTTGTTTATTTGAGCTTACTCTGTTTTTCTGATATGGGAATTTACCACTGTAAATTTTTCTTGAAGGACTGCTTTCATTGGGTCCCATAACTTCCTCTATGTTTTATTGACATTATCTTGAATTATAGAAACTGTCTAATTACTTCTTTATTTTCATCTGTGACTCATGGGTTGTTTAGGAGGGTGTTATTTAATTTCCATGTGTTTATGAAGTTCTTGGGGCTTCTTTTGCCATTGACTTCCAATTTCATTGCACTGTAGTCTGATAATATGTGTGTGGTAATTTCATTTCTTTTGCATTTAAGCAGTTCTATGGACTAGTATGTGGTCTATTTTGGAGAACATCCCATGTGCAGCTGAAAAGAATGTATATTCTGATGTTGTGGGGTAGAACACTCTGGATTTCTGCTAAGTCCATTTGTTTAAAAGTTTGGTTTAGTTCTGATATTTATTTGTTGATATTTTTGTCTAGTTGATCTATTTGTGAGAGTAGGGTATTAAGGTATTCCCCATTATAATTGTGGTTAGTGCTTATTTGATTTTTCATGTCTGTTAATATTTGTTTTATATAGTTAGGTGCTCTGTTATTTGGTGCATGCATATTTATGATTGTTATCTCTTCCTCCTCAATTGTTCACTTTACAAGAGTGTAATTGCTTTTTTTGTCTCTCCTAATCAGCTGTCTTGAAATTTAATTTGTCTGCAAATAGAATAGCTACCCCTGATTTTTACCAGGTTCCTGTCACATGGGGTATTGTTTTCTATCCCTTGATTTTCACTCTATGCATTTCTTTTTTAATTAAATGTGTTTTTTTTTTAGTTGTTTTTTATTTTTTGGTATCGGGGATTGAACTTGGGACCTTGCCCCTGCGAGGCTGGCAATATGTGTTTCTTATATGCAGCATATTGTTGGATCTTGCTGCTTGAGCCTTTCTGCCAGTCTGTTTCTTTTGATTGGTGAATTGAGACCCTTTATGTTGATGGTTATAACTGATATGTATTTACTTATCCTTGTCATGTTATTATCCTGGTGCTGTTTCCTCTTTTTTTTTTCCCACCTCTAATTACTTGCCCTGTGAGGTAGATTCATTCTCTTGGGGTTCTTGAAGTTGTTCTTGAAGTCCTCATTATTTCTTTCTAGGATATGCTTCAGAACATTTTGGAGTCCTGATTTAGTGATCATAAATTTCTTCAGGTGTTTTTTGTTATGGAAGTATCTTATTTCTCCATCAGTTTTGAAAGATAGTTCTGTGGGGTACCTCAATCTAGCCCAGAGATTTTTTTTAAGGCTTGAAATGCTTTACTCCTTGCGCTCCCTGACTTGAAGGTTTGTTTTGAGGAATCTGCTCTTATTCTTTTGCATTTTCCTTACAGAAGATTTGTTTATTTTCTCTAACAGCTTTTAAGATTCTGTTCCTTTGTTGAATTTCTAGAATCTTAATTATTATATTCCTTGGTGTAGATTTTCTTCATCATGGCTAATTGGAGTTCTATATTCCTCCTTTATCTGTATGTCAAATTCTTTTTCCATGCTTGGGAAGTTTTCTGCCTTTACTTCTGTAAACAGGTATTTTTTATGTCTTTTGTGCTATCTCCTGCTTTTTCACTGATCAGTCTTATGTTATTCTTCAGCTGTCAGATTGATTTTTCATGATCCTTTGATATTTTTAAGAAATCTTTCTTTTCATCATCATTAACTGCAATCTTATCTTCTGTACCTAATATTCTGTCCTCACATTGGCTCATTCTGCTGCATATATTTTAGTAGGATTTTTAATCTTTGGATATCTTTTTGAATCTGTTTCATTGATACATGGTTTCCGTTTTCCTAAACTCCTCTATATGCTGTTAGAGACAGCAGAAGTCATTTTACATTTTCCTAACATTTTGTAGGTTTTTAGATTATTTGCAAAAGTTTCTGGGTCAGTGTCACTTAACATGTTTCTCTGACTGCTATATTTCCTGTGAAGTTATTGTTAACCCAGAGTCTTTTTTTTTTTTCTAGTACCAGGCATCGAACTCAGGACCTTGCACTTGCTAGGCAGATGTGGTGGCACTGAGCTACATTCCTGGTTGTGACTCAAAGTCTTAATCAGATTCAGAGTTGAGTTTTGACAAAACTACTTTATAGTCAACTTCCTGTTGTGTTGCATCAGGAGGGAATCTTGTTTTTTTCTATTTTATGATGTTGGTTAAGCAGTTAATTCAGTTGTTTTAGTCTTTTGTAAAGTTTCCAAGTAACTTTTCACCTAATAATTTTAGCAATCCATATTTTAGAAGGGGATACAAAAAAATGACATGTTAAGTCTACCATTTATTTTTTTATCTCTTAGCTGGAATATACCTATAAACAACAACTTTTCCTAGTGAACTGTTTGGTTATGCTAGATTTAGTTTGTACTAGAAAAGAAGAATAAATCCTTGCTTCTTTCCCCTTATTTACTTAAAAAATTTTTTTATTGGTATATATTCTTTACCCTTGTTTACTAGTATTTAGAGTAATAATTTTTCTATTCTCCCATGAATTCTTTTGTTATTATGAACTTAGATTTAGACATATTTTATGTATTTTAATCCAGTATAGTTATTTTGCTTATTTATGTTTATAATGTCTTCTCTTTGGCCAGGGAGAGCCTCTTCAAGCTACCTCCTGAGACCTTTGTACATGACCTCGGCAGTCATGCTCTTGAAATTGCCTGATTCTTCAAATTATCTTTACTCAAAAGTAACTAGAGTTTTAAAGGCTTAGAATAATAAAGACTGTTGAGGAAAAGATAATGTTATTTTCTTACCAATGATGAGCCAATGTTTCACTGTAGTCTCTCCAGTTATATCTTTATTCTAAGTCACTTCCTTGTGCATGACAACCCTATAATACAGAACTTTAAGATAACTAGCTTACCTTCAATTCACTCTTAAATTTGACTTTCAGAAACATAATATGGGTTGCAAAATATAGTTTAGATAGCCGCTGTGTCTGTTCTTTCTTCTCTTCCCTCTCCCCCACCTCTCTCTCCCCCCTTCTTTTTCTTTGTGGTATAGCTGGGGGTTGAAGGGATTGAACACAGGACCTTCGTACTGAGCTTTATTCCCAGTGTGCCTCCCCCATTTTGTTTCGTTTATTTTGAGACAGGATTTCCTTAAGTCACTAGATTGTTCAGGCTGTGCTCAAACTCATGATCTCCTACTTCAGCCTCTCAGAGTGCTGGGATTACAGAAATGCATTATTACCATACCTGGCAATGTCTTAGACAACTTCTAAGACTTTGTACTTAGAAAAATATTGTAAGCCATTTGCTGTTTATTAAGAGCTTTTAAAAAAATTGTGCTGAAGTGTTTTTTATTTTTTTTATTACAGGAGCTGGTCGGATTGAATTATGTTCTGGTTTATTGGAAGGAGGAACCACACCCAGCATGGGTAAATGCCTGTATTTCAAAATTTTTCTTTTATATAGAGCCAGGAAAATTGATTATCAGTCTCATTTGGGTCTTTTACTAATGCAATCATTAAAGATACTATGAATAGGGCCCAGGGATTTAGCTCAGTGGTTCCACTTCCTGCCTCATAAGCACAAGATCCCAAGTTGGATCCCTGGTACAAAAAAAAAAAAAGAATGCTATGAATATGTATCAGTTGGAAATACTATGGTTTCGGTAACACAAAGATTTCATCATTTTTTTCCCTCTAGCATCAAAAAGTTGGAAGTAAGTAGCTGCTGTATTATACTGATTTAGCTGCTCTGCAGTAAAATCAGTAACATCTTTCTTATTTATTTCTGAAAAATATTTTTGTTGGCTGTCAAATTCTAGGTTGACAGTTGTTTTTTTCTTTCAGCTCCTTGAAGATGTTTTGCAGTATCTCCTTGCTTGTGTTGTTTCTGAAGAAATCTATCGTTCATATCTTTCTTTTTCTCTCTTTATCACTTTGGTTGCTTTTAAGATTTTTTTCTTTGTTCCCAATTTTGAATAGTTCGATTATGATGTACCCGAATGTGGTTTTCCTCATGTTTCTTAGACCTGTGCTCTTATAATTTCCATCACATTTGGAAATTTTCAGCAATGTCTTCCATTCCCTCCTTAAGAGACTTCAGTTATGTTTGTATTAGATTGCTTGAAATTGTCCTAGAACTTACTGAGAAGCTACAATTAAGAAAAATCTTCTTTCTGTATTTTATTTTGCATATTATTTCAAGTGAACTCATCTTTCCTGCTGCAATGTTTAATCTGTTAATCTTGCCTGTATATTTTTCATCTCATACATTGTAGTATCTAGATATTTGAATTTTTGTATCTCCCATGTGTTTTTTGAATGTTTTTGGAGATATAGAACGAAATTATAATAGTTGTTTTAATGACTTTGTCTGCTAATTATAACATCTATACAAGTTCTGAGTTTGTGTAATTTGATTGACATGTTTTATTTTCCTGACTAGTCATTTAATTTAAAATATATTATGAATTTTATTGGTTACTGAATGTTTTTGCATTCAGATATATCTTTTTGAGCAGTTAGGTTACTGGGTACTGGGAACATTTTGGAACTTTCAGGTCTTTGGTTTGGAAGGAGGGTGAAACTAGTTCCTATGACTGTCTTGACGGAAGTCCCTGTGTGAATGTTTTACTCTAGAGTTACACTACTCTGCTACTGATATTAATACTGATATGCTACTGGTATTGATGTAGCATTATTTAGTGTAAAAATTTTATATATTTAACAGCCCTTTGGAATCTTCTCACTAAAAAAGGCAATCTCTGGCCATTCTATAATCCCTAGAATTTATCTGTATATTAGAGTGTAGTCTGTTTTTTGCAACACCAGTTATTCATTGCTTGATATTGGGCATATTTATATTCTGTGCAAAACTAAAGTTCTTTTAGCAGGGAAAAAAGATTCATATTTGGTAAACAAAAAATTGTCACAAATCTTGTACTGTTGAGTGTTTCCAAGTTGACCACATTGTGTCATATGCAGGTACTTTTGTTCAAATGTCTCTGCACAACCACAAATAGATAGAAGTTTTCTACCTTTCCAGTATCCCTTTCAAAAATAGGTTTTTCTAAATTTCTTATCCAGGAAGGGAACATAAATTTTGGAAACAAGTAATATTTATATAGGGGATTTTAAATACAGCTGTAATCAATTAGAAAAGGAGAAACTTGGTCCGGGGAAAAGTACTCATAGAACATTGAGCCTAGTAGGTACTACACTTCAAATGTCATAACCAATAAAAGGGTTCTGAGTCAGAAGGATTTTTGTTGGGACAACTGAGAAGTGCTTCTATATTGCAGTATCTTCATTTTTCTAAATTGCTCCTTTTAATTCTTGACTTCCCTATTGCTTACTTTCTACCAGTACATACATTTTTTTTCTTAATGTCCTTCCCTTTATATCCATTTTCTCTGGTTTCCTCAGTCAACTCTTTTGGATGTAATTACAAGAACAAATGTACAAATGTACATGTAATATTTTATTGACTTTCTGGACCTTTTAGCTTGCATTTGAATTTTAGTTTGCTTTCTGTTCTTATAGGTGTTCTTCAAGTAGTGAAACAGAGTGTCCAGATCCCAGTTTTTGTGATGATTCGGCCACGTGGAGGTGATTTTTTATATTCAGATCGTGAAATTGAGGTGATGAAGGCTGACATTCAGCTTGCCAAGCTTTATGGCGCAGATGGTTTGGTATTTGGGGCACTGACTGAAGATGGACATATTGACAGAGAGCTGTGCATGTCTCTTGTGGGTAAGAATTTGTGTTAAGATGATTATATTTATGCTCCCAAAGCAGAAAAATATCGCAAAATTGATTTTTCATTCATACCTGCAGACACTTAACTTTCACATCCTGTTTTAAGCACTACTTATTTAGATGATCTATAGTAACCAAGGAAAGCTCAGAGCTTTACTACCAGAACCTCCACCCTGAACATCTAAATTAACTATGCACTGTTTAAAATAGGTAGGATGTGTCTGCAGGTGTGACTGAGAAGTCAGTTTTGTGATGCCTATCTTGGCTCCTTTAACTACTATCCGTAAAACTTTCAAAAGTAATTGCATCAATGAGTATGGAGAGAAGGGGCAAAGATAGAAGCAAGCTTTTATATTACTAAGCTAAAGTATTTCTTAAGATCCTCAGAGGGACAAGTAGTCGATATAATGCTCTTTCTAGTTGCCAGAAATTTTACTTGGTGCCCTTTAAGGTGGATGACAATCAAAATAAGAATTTAGTGGAAAGATAAAACTTGAATTTATAAGGCTGCTATTCTGTTTTTATTTTGGTTCACATTCTTTACTTCTTAGGAGAAGAAAGTATAACGTTTCAGCTAATATGGAAGATTCTATATATAGTAATTAATGGTGGCTTTTCTTTTTCTCCCATTAGTTATATGTTTGTGATATATAATAATTACATTTAGCCAGGTGTGGTGGCACACACCTCTGATCCAGCACTTGGGAGGCTGAGACAGGAGGATCACCAGCAGTTTGGAGTCAGCCTGGGCTACATAATGAGTTCAAGGCCAGCTTGATCTACATAGCAAGGCCCTGTTTTGTTTTTGTTTTTTTAATTACATTCATTTTAGGTAATTGGAACATACACATACCACATCTTAATCATTTTTAGCTCCCCTTCCCTTCCCCATGCTCCTGTCTCCCTCCACCTCTAGATGCTTTTTCTATCTCCAGAGTCCCCCTCCCTGTTCCCTGTCACCTATTTGGGTTGTGTTTAGTTTTGTAATTCAGGTTGGCCTTGCACTCACTATGTAGCCCAAGCTGGCCTCAAGCTTGCAGCACTCATCCAGCCTCAGGCTCCCGAGTGTTCAGTGCAGGGATTATAGGCATGTGCTATTACACCTGGCCAATCATCTGTCTTTTATTTTGTTCTTTATTTATACTTTGGGTTTATCATAGAATCCATGTAATATTTAACATTCAGTGTCTGTTTTATTTTACTTAGCATTAGGGTTTTATGGTATATCCATTTTTGTACAAATGACTTAAATTCATCTAGTATGGCTGAGTAGTACTCTATTTGTGCATCTGTACCACCTTTTCTAAATCCATTTATCTGTTGATGGGCCTCTGGGCAGCATTTAAGATTTAGCTTTTATGAGTTGTGCTGCTATAAACATGGTATGCATGTATCACTGTAATAGGATGTCTTTAACTCTTTTGGGAATATAATTGGAAAAGATTTTGCTAGGTCAAAAGGAATTTCTATTGTTAGCTTTTTGAGGAATCTCCTCCATACTGATTTCCATAGTGGTTGTACTAATTTACATTCCCACCAATAATGTAGAAGGGTTTCTTATTTTCCCCAACCTACCAGCATTTTGTTGTCTGGAATAAGGTGGAATCTCAGTGTTGTTTTGATTTGCATTTCTCTAATGGTCATATATTCTGAACATTTTTTCATGTGCTTATTGACATTTGTACTTTTTTTGATTGATTAATTTTTGAGACAGAGTCTCACTGTGTAATTCATGCTGGTCTTGAACTCACTGTGTAGCCCAGGCTGGCCTCAAACTTGCAGGATCCTCTGTCTCAGCCTCCCAAGTGCTGGGATAACAGGTGTGCACCACCATGCCTGGCTGTACTTCTTTTGAGAAATATCTATTCAGTGATCACCTCTTTTTCAATCCTGTTATATGACTTTCTTTTTATAGCCCTTTGCCGTCCTCTGCCAGTCACTTTCCATCGAGGTGAGTTATTTCATTTTAGAAGTTCTCTTAAATGGTGTAAGTTATCTAGTGTCACTAGATGCCACTAGATGTTGATGGAGCAGTTTTGTAGTGTTTACGGTGTTACTAGTTGGCTTTTAGAAATTTTTGAAGGCTCAGTTATGAGAAGTTGTTGAAAGTGGTGGTAGAATATATAAAGGTAGAGGGAGGGCTACATGAAGTATTGCTTGTAATTGCATGTATCTATCCAAGTAACTGTCCTCACATTCCTTTTAGGTAGATTACCTTAGGTCATGTGCACCCATAAAAAGAATAAAACACTGTGGTTGGTGAAATGTACTGCCAAATTTAAGCCAGATAAAACTATTCTGGAGATAGAGGATAATGAGGTCAATTTTCTCAGACAGAGGCTTCTTGTGGGGAGAGAGATTGGATATGTGAAGAAAAATTGGGCATTTTTAGGAAGGGGGAAACAAGAAATAGATGCTAAATAGTCAATAAAAAGATATCAACTATAGTGTACAAAATTACTTTTCATGATTGACAACTTGTCTGTGTTGTATAAAGAAAAGTTTTCTCTCCTCAAATTGGTAGTTACAATTCCCATACTCTGGCTAATTCTTGAAGTGGAGTAACAAGTGTCACTTTTGCACTGGTATTTCACATGAAAAGAAAGCAGTTAAATTTTTTCGTTTTTTTTCCTTGATTATATTCTTAAAAAGTTTTTAAATACCTTTTCACCCCTTTTAAGTTAGCATTCAGAGATTGGGATAAGAGTGCATATCAGTATCTGCATCCATTTATAGAAGTTAGGGATAAAGTATTTGTTTTCTTTGTTTCTTTTGGAATGTATGGCACAACCAGAAAAATATTCTCTTTAACTTGATGTTAGCAGTGCTTTTTATAAACTAACAGTAACTAAAAAAAAACTTAAGTTGCTTAAAGTCATCATTTTGATGCTAGCCACACACAAGAAAAAAAATTTTAAACATGAAAAGTATTTTAAGTTAGTATTTACCTGAAAAAATGTATAGTTTAAAATTTTTATGTGCTAAATAACTTAAAAGCAAACTAGTCCTATAAAACATGCTTTTTTTTGTTTGTGAATTTAGAAAATGACCTCAAATTTCTGTTCATTTCCTTTTCTCCAATAAGTTTAACAAAAGTATTTACTTAATTTGTAGAAATTTTGCATTGTCCTGGATACTACACTTTTTACACTTATTTATTTAATTAGATACTATGATAATGTAATCACTGCTGAGAAAGTGCTGCTACTGAAAAAGGAAAATTCTCCGCAGGAGTTTTTGCTGCCCACATAATCCTGGGAGAAAAGAAGGAGCCGGTCCCAGAGAACCAGTAGTACCTACTAACAAAAATAGATGAGAACTTCTGTATGATATAGTAGTACAGAGAACCAAAGTTTTCTGTTTTGAGATTCCTATATCACTTTCTTCTCTCTCCTGAGGAGTGAAATTTCTTAGTAGGATGGAATTGAAACTGCATGTAGTCTCTTGAAAACAACTGACCTTATGCTATAAGCCTTAAGTGTGTCAGGTGAATGAATTAGTGTAAAATATTAATCACTAATGAGAATGTGAGCCAAGGTTTTTACTAGAACTCCTGAGTATAGTTTTTCATTTTATATAATCTAGTTTGAAGTCTTAGAGCAGTTTCCCATGTTTTATCACTTACCTATTGCACATAACAATTTTGTCATATCTGAATGCTACCTGTGCATATTTATTTAATACTATTCTTAATAAAATCTTAAGTTTTTTTGTTTTTGTTTTTTGACACTGGGGGTCAAACTCAGGTCTTTGCACTTGCAAGGCAGGTGGCGGAATCACTAAGCTAAATCCCCAGCCCCTTAAGTTTATTTGAAAGAGAAACTTTTGTAATAACTGAATTAGAAACTTCTTATGTGAATTTAAGTAGACCAGTTAAAATCTGTACCAAGCAGGGTGTGGTGGTGCAAATCTGTGTCACTTTGGCAAGCTGAGGCAGGAGTATCATTGTGAGTTCAAGCGCAGCATGGGCTACTACATAGCAAGTTCAAAGCCAGCCTGAACTACATAGCAAGACCCTCTCTCAAAAATAAGAAATGTATACTAATAAAATGATCATGCATATGCTAATGGTACTCAAGCTGTGGTGTGTTGGCACTTGGAATAAAAAGAGCCCCGATTTGTAGTGTTTTCTGATTTGTGGTTTATATACACTACCTTGATTAATTTCAAGATGTCAATGTACTAACAATCTGACTTGCAAAATTCCTGAATATTTTTATATAATGTATTTATAAACCAGTATAATCTGGGTTCAGTATGCCACTGTATGTAAACTACCTAACACTGCATTTTTGCACATTTGTTCAAAATTTATTTCAGCTTTTGACATGGTTCATGATCCAGTGGCAGCTCTAGAAACCCTCTTAACCTTGGGATTTGAACGAGTATTGACTAGTGGATGTGACAGTTCAGCATTAGAAGGACTACCTCTAATAAAGCGACTCATAGATCAGGTATAAGCAGTTCTTTTTTTCTTCCTAAAACTGTTGTGCTTACTCTTTTCTGTTGTTCTGCTAGACTGTAAGACTAAATATTACTGATTTTATGATTATTGCAGGAAAAAGCAAACAGGTGGTGATGTATTTATATAATTCTTATTTCTGTCATATGAGTGTTTTCAATAGAGAAGGCTCTTCAGATCAAATTATAAACACTCCCTAATGATCTGAGATAATTTGACTAAGCAGAGCAAATTTTACATTTCTATGCCATCAGCATTGCTTAACTTTAAGTCATATTTTTTTTCTATTGGCCTGTATATACTCAGGGGATCCCATATACAATTTCTGAGAATTATCATTTTCAGGTATATTCCAAAATAAAAATTACATTCTTTCATTTTTTTTCTCCATTTTTCAGTGTAGGAGCAAATATATTTCACTCTTGTATGACTTTTCCTGATGAGCTAGTATCATTTATAGGACAGTCAGGAATGACTTCGTAGTTGGAGTATGTTTGTGTTTTACTGACACCAGTCCAGAGACATTCTAAGTTAGGGAGTAAAGACTTTGAGATGAGAGAGTTCTGTGTTTGAGACTCAAGTTTGACACTTTACTTGCTGTGTGATGTTGAGTAGGTTACTAATTTTGAAGTCTCTGTTTTCTTGTGTGTGAAATTGACATTAATTTTTCCTTTGTAGGGCTTCTCTGAGGATTGAGAGAGATTAAAATATGTAAGAGTCTTAGCACAGTGCTTGGTGTGTAGTAGGTCTTAGTACATTTTAGTTTTTTTATTTTGTTTTTGTTTTTGTGGTTTTTTTTCCTCATTGAATTTATTGGTACATTTTAGGTATACAGTACAGTTACATTCATTATTGGGATCTTGTACCTTTACATGACAGGTCTTGGTTCTCATTTTTCCCCCTTGTCCCTGTCCTCCCTTCACCCCCTCCTCCCCTCCCCATTTACAAACACTTTTTTTCCATTTTTTCATTTTCTCATATTTTTTTCTTATCCCTTTTACCTTTCCCCTACCCTTCCCACTTTCCCTACACCTTTATGAGATAATTGCAAGTGAAATAGGAAGAAAAAGGCTAAAGGTATAAAAGTACATTTTAGTTTTTATTACAATGATTTGAAAATTTTTATTAGTACATGTTCATAGTACATAATGTTAGCATTCCTTGTATGGATTTGGTACATGTACATAACATATCTTAATTCCTTTTTTTCATCCTTTTCCCTCCCTTCCTTACCCCTTCCTGTATCTCTTGATTTCCTTTCCATTTGAGAAAGATCCATCTCCCTACCTCCTATTATCTATTATTTTGCTCTTTATTTATAATTTGGATTTCTCATATAAGAGAAACCATGTAATATTTAAGTTTGTGTCTGATTTATTTCATTCAGTGTTATCGTCTATAAATAACACAAGTTTACCCTTCCTTATAGCAGAGTGGTACTCCATTGTGTGTAAATACCATGTTCTCTTTATCTGTTTATATATCGATAGACATACAGGCTCCTTCCAAGATTCAGCTATGCTATTTCTTCTGTCATTTGATTATTTTCACATTTCCATAGCCATAAAATAACTTTTAAGAAATTTCACCAAAAGATCTGATGTGATTTTGCTATTATGGAATTTACTGAATTTTAGAAATATTTATTAAGTATATATTAGGTACAGAGTATTTATACTGTGGTAGCCAAAGAAGTATGTGCGTGGTCACTGTCCTCACAATGTAGTGCACAACTTTTTAATTGAGTACAATAATAAAAGGTACTGTGGGGCACGTTGGAAAGGGATTAACCCAATATAGGGAAAGCTTCCCAGAAGAAAAGGCATCATAACGGAAATGTACTAATTTGAAGGAAGTTTGAGAGTTATCTGTGTAAAACTGGTTCATAGAGAGAATTGAAGAATTGTTCCACACAAATAAATGTAAAGGCCTGGAAACAAAAGCAGTTATAGCTTAAGATACTTAAGAATGATCAAAATGTTGAAGGTGAAGAGAATAATGATATCCAGAGCCTTGAAAACCTTATTAATAGTTTACATTTAATCCTTGGTATAGTGGGTAAGCTTAAAACATTTTAAAATAGAGTTGGTGAATCAAGTTTCCATTTTAAAAAGGTACAATTGAGGGGTAGGAAGAGAGTGATAATCAAAGTATGTTATGTACATATACGAATCTGCGAAAATGAAACCCGTTAATCTTTAAAACCAACAAAAAAGAAGACATAATTGTCATAGTTAATGTATTGCATTTCAGAATATCTGTGTGTGTGCACATGCATGCGTGTGTGTTTCTCTGTGTGTTTGGTATGGTAGTCATTGGTTGGCAAGAACTGGATTAAATATTTTTATATACTGGGCCGGGAATTTAGCTCAGTGGTTCTGCCGCCTGCCTTGTAAGTGCAGGAACTCAAGTTTGATACCCGGTATCCCCCGCAATTTTATTTTTGGTATACTAACTTAACTTCTGAAAGTCACTACCTACCAGTATAATATACTGGCAAGAAAATAGAATTTGGGATTATAATCCTGGTTTAAATCCTGCTTTTATCACTTAGAAGTAGTGTTGGGCAAATTACCTAACCATCTGAAATCTTCATCTGAAGTGTCAGGATGATAATAACAACACCTACCTCCCAGAACAGTTACAAGAGATTACTTCAGATAATAGTGCAATATCTGACACATAGTAAGGGCTTTATATTGTTAGGTCACTCTTGTTAGGTCACTTTGATAGCCTCGAGTAAGCATGAAATTCGAAATAATCTTTTATGGAACCCCCCCTCCCCTAGTGATAGAATTCATCTCTTTAAAATATCATTTGTGTTTATTTTGGAAAGCCTTCATTTGGAAAAGAAATCAGGTAATTGTGACTTTTTTCTTCCTAAAATTATTTCAGCTTTCTGGTTAGTAAATGTTACTTTTTATGGATAAATTGCTTTATTTAGCACATTTGGCAATTTGAAACATTCTTGTTCTGCTTAATTTTTCTAATTCTTAGTAAATTCTGTGAAATAGAACTTCTCTTTTACTCTATTTCATTACCTTGCTTTATTTTTTTCTTCATTGTACTTATTACCTGAAATTTTGTTGCATAAATATACCTGCCTGTTGCCTGTCATCCTTAAATGTGTTAAGTTTCATGAAAGAAGAAATTTTCTCTTGTTTACCATGTTAGGAAGGAACAGCTTTTCTTCCACCTTCTTATATTTAATTCTTGATGGCCTGCTAATTAACTGACAAAGTTGCATTAGCAGGAGAAAAAAACATTGATTATATATGTAACTATATACATTCTTATACATATAAGGAAGTTTATAAGGAAATATGCCTCAAAAGGATGGCTAGAACTTGGGACCTGTATAACATCCTAGTAAGTGAAGAGGAAGGAGAGAAGGGTTATTATAGGTAAAAAAAATAATTTTTGAAGAAGCTGATTGATCAGGCCCTAGAAGCATAGATTGAAGATGTGATAGTTTTATAATAAATTCAATCCCTTTCTTCCAGAATTATCAGAAATTAAATTTAATTCTTGTAGCTCAGTTAAATAAATCCTTGGTTTTGTTGAATTGATAAGGTAAATGAAGGAATTTAATTGAGGATATAGGATTTGAGTGGATTTTCCCCACTGCTCTACAAATTAAGTTATGCTTTCTTTTCTATTAAAATCTTTTTTCTCTTTAAAATATATTTTATTAGTGCCTTTAAATTTTATAAAATATTGGACTTCAGTGAGGTATTTTCATATGTTTATGACATATTTTTATCCTCTTGTTCCTCTCTCCCTCCCTTTATTTTCTTCCTCTTGTCTAATAACAGTTTCTCTTCTGCTTTCATGCCTTCTTTTGTTTTTTGTTTCTTAGATTCTACATATTAAGGAAAACATATCTGTCTTACTGAATCTGACTGATTTCATCTAACATGATGATGTCCAATTTCATTTTTCTACAAATGACATAATTTTGTTCTTGTTTATAGATGAATAATTCTTCATTGTGTGTATATATTCTATATTTTATTTATTAATTCATCTATTGATGGACACTTGAGCTGGTTCCTTTGTTAAAATGTTGTGGTGTGTCATTATTTTATTTATTTATTTATTTTTTTGAGACAGAGTCTCCTACATAGTTCAGGCTTTCTTCAAATTCAGAGCTGGTCTTCCTGCCTCAGCCTCCCAAGTGCTAAGATTACAGGCATTTGCCACTATGCCCTGGCATGTGTGTCATTTTTCTGTAAGGCTTCTCTAAGGTAATGTGATTAATAAGTATTTTATTATTATTATTATTATTATTATTATTATTATTGTTATTATTATTATTATTATTATATGAGGGATTGAACTTGGGCCCTTGCACTTGTGAGGCAGGCGGCAGTACCACTGAACTAAATCCCCAGACCTATTCGGTATTTATACTATATCCTCTTTTATGGTAATAAAAAACAAATATGAGTTTTTAAAACAATACAGAAAAATAATTTTGTTGACAAAAGTCTGTGTTTGACATCCTGCTTGCCCATCTATTAAAAATTAAACTTTAAAATTTAAAATTTAACTTTGACTCAAGTTTCTCTTTTTATTGTCTTATCCCAATTAAGAGAAAGGTATTAAAATTCACTTTTTTTCTTTTTTCAGGCAAAAGGCAGGATTGTGGTAATGCCAGGTATTTATTTATCTCTCTATTTGTTAGCATAATGCTGGACTGTAGTAGAGCAAAGGGAGCAGGAAAATGTGGGAGAAAGTATTATAGCGTGGTGTTCAAAGAGAACCCTATATAGAACCCTATAAATGAAATGTTTAATTAGGATATCTGTGCTAGAATTTAAAACTTTAGAAAGTAGAAAACATTCTAACAGGATTAGCTTACAGAGGAGTAAATAAGGAAATAGGTTAGGATTGGGGTTTTTTCGTGTTTGCTTTCTTACAGTATAGAATTTTATAAGTTTGTTGTTCATTTCTGGTAAGGGCACCAAATTTGATGCTGCTTTCCTGTGTAAGGCCAAATGCTTAGACGATATCCCAAGATAAATATAATAATCTGTCAGTTTATGAATATCTCTGATGGCCAGATTTTTTTGTAGCCAGAATAATTTGAGCATATTCTCTTAATGACAACCGTAAGTTCATTAGAAATGAAGAGATGGGATAGTTTTTTAAAGAATTGGATGAGGCAACCTGGAATCAAAATGAGACAAATATAAAGGCACTCTTAATTTTTTCTTTTTGTTATTTTTACAAATAAAAAAGTAAAATCAGAATAATGAATGATTATATGCTCATTCCCTAGCGCTAACATTTTGCCACATTGGTCTTTTTATCCTGAGATATTTTAAAGATAAAGGTATCATGGCATGTTATCTTTATGCATCTGTATAAAAAAGGACATTTTACCTATAACCACAATGCCATTATCACCTCTATCAAAAGAAATAGTAATTCCTTAATACCATTTAATGTCTGTTCCATACTATTCTTTTCTAGTTGTTGCCAAAATGTATTTTACAGCCAATATGTGCACATTAGGATCCAATCAAGGAACAAGCATTGTATTTCTTAATATTTTTTAATATAGGAGATTTTTTTCTGCTTAAAAGAAAATGCCATTTAAAAAGTTTGGCCAGACATGGGTTTAAAATCCCAGCGGGCTAAGGTAGGAGTATTGCAGATTTGAGGGCAGCCTAGATAATTTAGTAAGACCCTATCTCAGAATAAAAAGTAAAAAGGATTGGGAGTGTAGGTCAGTGGTAAAGCACCTTAGGTTTGATCTCCAGTTATAAAAAGGGAAAAAAAGTTGCCATCACTTAATTTACAGAATGTCTTACTTTTTGGATTTATCGGGTTGTTTCTTTTTGACACTGGTTAGCTTATTCCTCTGGCCTCTGTATTTCCTATAACTGGTAGTTAGAGTGAAAAGTTTGATTAGATTCTGGTTACATATTTAGGAGAGAATAATGGAAGATTCTCTGTACTTTGTATTATATCACACTACAAGGTATTTAATCTCTAGTTATTTTATTACTAGTGATGCCAAGACTGACCAGTATTCAAAATGCTAACAACCACATAAAGGGCAGCTTTATGAAAGAGGCTATGGGAGTGTATTTTCAGGTAGTAGGAAGTGTTTGACTTGTAGCAAGTACCTGAAACATGAACAGAAAGTGTATTTTATCTATCAAATTGAGGTAATTGGGGAATTAAAATGTATTTACTCTTGACAACTAATAACCAGGTTTAGGCAGTTGTTCATTTTAAGAATACTTTTGTTTAATACATAATTACTAAGTTATCTGCTGCTATGTGCAAAGCATCACTTGGAATGCAGTTACATAAGAAACTACTTCCTGAAGAAGCTAGCATTTTTAGGTTAACAGATGTTATATACAAAAATATTTGTGATTAATTTATTTAACCTCACCAAGCAAATGTTAATTACATGTCAGTTATAACTACTTATATAATATGATAGGTGTAAAAAATAGAATGAATATGAAGTAAAAGAATGCATATGAAGTAATCCTACTTGAGGAGCTTGAAGAATAGAATTGTAAACAGATTATGACTTTATGTAAATAAATACCAGCAAGTTAAAATTCCTAGAAAAATCAGTCTGAATGCCTTATGAATATTCATCATTGGGAAATACAAAGATAAATAGAACATAGTAGTTGGCCTCTCAGGATTCTTTATGATGAAGCTTATGACATAGAGTCCACCAAAAAAATGTATACACACTTCAGGAATAGAAAAAATTGTATAAATATTTTAATACTAAATTTATTGAGACATCATGAAATTCATTCAAGTTACCTTTGGCCTCTGCAATTACAAGAGGTGCTCAAAATGATGGCCGTTAGCTTCCAGGAATTTATTAGTACAGAGAGCTGCTGCTGGGATAACCGTGGTTATTGATATTGCTGCACTTGCATTTCCAATTTCTTTAAGGGCCAGCCGTGTAGTGGGTTTTCTGTGATATAGGACAACCTCTAAGGTCCCCCATATGAGGATAACACCATCTGTTGAAAAAAAATCATACTATTTTTCTTTTCATGAAGTGTGTATACATTTTTTGGCAGACCTTGTATTTAGGCTCTAGTTTCCTCATCAACATTCTTTGATTCCCCTTTTCACTGCAAAGCTATGTTATCTATGTTTGGAAATGTATTGCTTATATGTTAAAGTTGTCGATTACTGAGCAACAAGTGTTTAGTGCTCACATATTTTATCTTTTAAAAGGGAATAATATGTGTTTGTTTATTAATTGATTGTTTGTTCTGGGGATTAAACCCAGGGCCTTCACAGTGAGCAACCTCAGTCCTTTTAAAAATTCAGGGTCTTTCTGGGGATTTAGGTTTTTTGTTTGTTTGTTTTTTGAGACAGGGTCTCACTATGTAGTTGAAACTGACCTGGAACTACGTAGCCCACTCTAATGTTGAACTCAGTGATCCTCCTGCCTCAGTCTCCCGAGTGCTGGGATTACAGGCGTGAGCCACCATGCCTGGCATTGCCAGGGATTTAACTCAGTGGTTCTGCCACCTGCCTAGCAAGCAGAAGGATCTGAGTTTATCCCCGGTACCAAAAATAAATAAATAAATAAATAAATAAATAAATAAATAAATAAATCACACAGCTGTGAAGAGCTACAGTGACAAAGTGAGGATTCCATTCTAAATCTGACTTCTTTGCCTATATTCTTTCTTTTTAGGTTTCAGCAATATGACTATACCACTAATGATAATAACAATGACAAAGCAGTTAATAAAGTATTCAGTTGTGTGATAGTAATAAAATAGGGTCAGATTCTTCTGTGAAATGAAACACAAAGTTGGTATTGTAATGGATAAACTAGGTTGCACTTTGCCTCATTCTCATTTGTAGTGAAGTCAGGTGTACTTTGTGAATCCTGAGTCAGAAAGAAAACCTTACATATTCTCTCAGACATATCTCTGAGGTTGCATTTCTACACTGTTTTCCTCAAACTTGTCCTTGCCTTTTATTTTAATTTGATTTTGCTTAAATTGAGGAGGAACAAGGATAGAGTACGGAATGCTTTTTCTTGCCCCAGAGCAGTCTTCTTAAAGTCTTAAAGTAATATGCAGTATAGCATTGCCATGTAAACTAATGAATGTAAAAGAGATTCTGTCATATAGGCTCTATGGCTTAACTGTGGTATACATCTTTTATTACTTTTCTCATTCTTTTTCATTCTAATGTAAGGGGAGAGTAGTTTTTTTCATCAGTGAGAAATTTCATAATGGAGATTTTTCAGTAAAATAGTGTTGTTCGCTATATTTTATGCAAGATTTTGTTACACTTCATATATTACTTGTTCTTTTCACTAGGAGGTGGCATAACAGACAGAAATTTACAAAGGATCCTCGAGGGTTCAGGTGCTACAGAATTCCACTGTTCTGCTCGATCTTCTAGAGAGTCCGGAATGAAGTTTCGGTAAAAATTTATTCTTTGATTCATACCAGAAGGAATGAGATTAATCTTTATTTCTCCAAATAGGACAGCTTTGGTTGATGTCATGATTAATGAATAGATGTTATGATTAGTAAATAAGTGTTGTAGTCATTTTTGCAGTTGAGAAACCTTTCTATAATGGTCCTTGTTTTGTATTAAATAAGTATCTTCTGAACATAAGTAAACTTTTACATAGACTTTGTGGAGTCATGCCAGCCATTGCCTTTAACATGATTAAATCTGGCCTTTGCTTCTTCCATAGAGAGACACTTAGTCTGTTTACAGTGAACTGATGGAACTGAAGGACTGAGTGCAACAGTTAATAATAAATGAATTTGGCAGCTAAGCTTCAGATGAATCACTCACATGTATCCATTTCCTTTTGCAAAGCTAAGAACTGTGGTGTAATGATGGAAGAGTCATAGGCATTTATGTCCCTCTCATTGAGACTGATTAGTTGTCCCTTACTTTTGCTCTCTACTTTTCAGTTACTTTGAAATTATATACCCACTAAGGAATTGAAAGTATTTTTAAAAAATTCTTGATAGGATCCCTATAATTTGACAGTTGAATTTTTCTAAATTTGGAAAAATGTGATGTAAAAGATGGAAGAGCCTTAGAATTTACATTTCCAGATGTATGTTGTTTGCTAGATTTGGCTACTAAATATTTCAAGTAAAGACCCTGACCTTACCTTTTTCTTGAGCCATGAAGTAGCCTATAATGTACCAGTAGGGAAGGCTCACTTAACAATTTAATTTTCTGTTCCTTTTTTTAATGTCTATTACAGAAATTTCTCTGTTGCCATGGGAGCCTCACTTTCTACCTCAGAATATTCTCTAAAGGTAACAGATGTGATCAAAGTAAGGACTTTGAATGCAATTGCAAAGAACATTCTGGTATAGCCAGATCTCTCCAAGACACATGGATAATATCACAGTATGAAGGTAGATGTATATTCTGTAATTCTGTATCCCACAGCTTTTAATCTCATTGACTGGGACACAATCTTTAAGTTTCTTAGGGCAATGGAGTATGTTTTCAAGAAGAAGAAGAAATTGAAAAAGATATTGCATCTTTTGCTAAATTTTGCCAGCCATTACTATTATCATGATTAAATTTGGTCTGCACTTCTTCCACAGAAAGACTTAGATTTCAGTGGAACTAATAAATGCCCTGGACAATTCAGCTGTAACATATGAATTCAGAGTATCTCTTGTCAGTTCAGTAGCAGTATTTTACCTTTTCATTTGTAAAATAAAAATTTCCATTCTGTTATGGTATAGTCTTCCTTGCTCTGAATATAATTTGTAGCCAAGTATGAAAGGGAAGGTTGTGTTTTGTTTTGCTTTAATCCATTTTTTCTTGTTATTATGTATTCATTGGACATGTTGTTCCCTTGGGCAAGATGCTGAGGTTTTAGAATGAAATGGTACAGCTTAAAAATCCCCAGACTTGGAATGCAAGGTAAAAAAAGTCTGTAGATTCAATACCATATTCATATGCACATATAATCATATTTAATATTTTGGTCCCCCTCCCTTGATTTCACTCTGTGATCTTCCAGACAAAAGCTGGCCTTGTCTTCTCTATCTTCTTTAAACAGATTAGCAAAGGCACTGAGAAGCTGATATGAATTGCATGAGGTTTTACAACAAATTTATGTTGTTTATTAGCCTTGAACACTAACCTTCCAAAGCTTCTGCTGTAAGATACATTTTCTGATATGTAGAACTGGTATAAAGAGCACTCTTTATATGTCAGACGTAGCTGAGATCATATCTTGGCTTGTAGCTTAAACAGGAGAAAGACGACTTTATTTCTTGAAATTTAATTTCTTCATTTTAAAATCAGGAATAGTAACTATAGTTTCTGATTAAATGATATAGTAAAGCACCAGGTACATAAGAAACATTCGCCAATGTTAGTTCTTTTCTCATAGGTTAGTTTTCTAGTATATCAGACTTTGATAGTCTGAAAACTCTTCCCAGCAAGCCAGGCATTGAGTACTGAAGCCCACACTTAAACTGTGTTTCTTCTACCTTGTTCCCTACCTTGATGTTTTTACGTTTCAGCTCTATTTAAAAATATTTACTGATAATTTCATGTGCATATGTTTTTCCTCAGCAGTGTTTAGCATTTCAAGGATAGGGAAACATGAGTTCTTACTTTTGTGTGTGTTCCATCACATCTACCATATTGTATCTGCAACAGTATCGATTACTTTGTGTACTGGAAGAAGAGCACTGAATTGGAAGTCAGCACCTAGATACTGCTCCTTCCTATCGTGACTTTGACAACTGTGCTATATGTCTTCTTGTCCTTGTAGATTTACTACCTTTGATCTGCTTTGTGTGCTGGGAGGCCAATCTGTAAGAACTACATCAGTTGCTCCCTTGCCCCTCATCTTCTGGTTGTGCTTGGGTGCCAGCAAGAGTTGGGAAGGTGGGATGAGTTAAGGAGTACCTTCCCTGCCATACTATTGTAAGTTAGCTTTATCTTCCCAGTTGTCCCTCTTTGTACCCTTTTTGGATTCTGATAGCTAGTCGCTCCCCCTTACCACTTAAAGCTTATGAGTGGTAATAACTCCAGGCTGGTCTAGCTAGCACACTTAACTGTTTATTCCTTGTTAGTTTTCTTTTTTCTTCTTTTTTTGGGGGTGGTGTTTTGAGACAGGGTCTCACTATATCCAGGCTGGCCTTGAACTTGTAGCATTCCTCCTGCCTCAGCCTCCCAAGTACTGGGGTTATAGGTGTGTGTCACCACATCTGGCTCTCATGCCAGTTTTCTTAAACCATGCCAATAGCTTTGTATATAGTTCATTTACCAAAGTTTCTTGAAATTGCCCTGTTGATGTATATTGTCTGTTACCTTCCAGGACCATGACTTATAAGTAATGACAGCTGGGAATGGTGGTGCATGCCTGTAATCCCAGCACTCAGAAGGCTGAGACAGGAGGATCTCTGTCAGTTCAAGACAGCCTAAATTACATAGTGAAACCCTGTTTAAAAAAAAATAAACAAATAGGGCTGGGGATTTAGCTTAGTGGCACCCTGCCTGCTTTGCAAACACAAGGTCCTGAGTTTGATCTCTGGTATTGGAAAAAAAAATAGTGACAGTCTTCTTAGAGTTTAATTTTCCAATTTTAAGTTCTTTTCAGTTTTAACACTCTGATTTAACTATTAAATACTTTTTAAATAAAGAAAATTAGTAGTAGCAGTCTTGTTTCATCTAACTTTTCTGTATCCTTAATGCAATACCTCAAGGAAAAGCATACAATAATTGCTCTGTAATTTACTTTAGCTTCTTCTACTTGAATGCTGCACAGAGTTATATATCCTAACAAAAACTCCTTTTACAGTAATAGCTTAAAATAATTGTATCTTTGGGATTATTTGTATTATTTCCATATTTCTATGCAGTATCTTAAATTTAATCCTCAGAATAACAGCATCATGTCACTTCTGGCATATATTTACTCTTAGCCTTTGGTCATTTCCCATCCCCACACACTGGAGTACATCAAGCACTTTTGTTTTTTCATTTAGTCAACTCTCACAATGTAGAAATCTCAGACAGATCTTTTTTTGTTTGTTTGTTGTTTTTTTGAGACAGGGTCTCAAAATGCAATTCAGGTTGGCTTTGAACTCATTCTATAGACCAAGCTGGCTTCCAACTCCCAAGGATCCTCCTTCATCCTCCCTAGTGTTAGAATGACAGGAGTGGAGCACACCATCACACCTGGCCTCAGACTGATCTTTGTTATTTTTACTTAATATTGAATCATTCCAGCAATAATACAGACTAAAAGTTACAGACTTCTTTAAAGAAAATGTCCTCAAAAGTTAGATTACTTAGTTCAAGCAAATGGATTTAATTATGAAACAGTAAGTACTTTTTTCCTGAGATTGGAAATGAGACAAAGATGCCCACCCACTGTCACCATTTTTATTATTTTACTGGCAATTACAGCTAGTACAGTAAGGAAAAATGAAAAATATTGGGATTGGAAAGGATATCAGAAAACTAATTCTTTGCCAACATCATGATTATATGAAAAACATCTAAAAAGCTTAAAATTAATAAGTAAGGAAAGAGGTGTCTACAAAGTTAGAAAATAAAAAATTTTAATTATGTATATAATACCAATATAAAAATAAGTTGTACACCTTAAGTATATTCAATATCAACTCAATAAAGTTTTTTTAAGGTTTTTTTAATAGCATATTTAACTATGTATATTAGCATCAGATGCCTAGGAATAAGTCTAATGAAAGAAAAAGTCTTTAAAATAATCTGTCTTCCCACTTTTTATTATGAAAATTCTAATGTATTCCTGGATCCTATAATTGTAAATGATTTGCTGTATTTGCATCTTTTCTCTTCTCTTCCTCTCCCACACCCACATAATTCAATTTCTGCAGAACACAGTGCTTTGATCAGCATTAGAAGTTCAGAACAGTAAGTCTGGAATACTATGAAAAAATTAAATCTCTTTATTAAATTTTAGTCACCATATTTTAATTCAGGGTGATCTGTTTGCATGAAAACATCTACTTAAGTAGGGAATTCATATTTGAATCTTCCAGTATTTCATACAAAGTAAATGCTTTAAAGTGCCTGTTAGTGGTTTATTTAATAACAGAATATAAGTTCTGACTTTGATTCTCTAGGTACCTGAGACCCCTGTTCTACAGAACTAGCATTAAACCTATTGAGTGGGTTATCTCTGTGGTGGAGCACTTGCCTAGCATGCCCTGAGTTCAATCCCTAGCACAGCAAAAACAAACAACACATCAGCTAAGTATATACCCCAGAGAGCTGTAAATAAGTATCCTCACAAAAATTTGGCATATGAATGTTTATAACATTATTTTTCAACTTAGAGAATAATCATTTTCCAAGTCCTAATGAAAAATCAAACAGATCGTCATTGCTATAACTCAGGTAAAACGTTTATTGGGAACTAAATTTCCACAAGTTAGCATAATAACACTCTAGATGACTTGCTAGTCACAATGTTACCATCAGCTTAGGGTTCTTTTGCTTAATTAGGATGTAAGTTACGATGTGAGAAGCTTTCAGATGTGAGAAGCTTTCAGCTCTTAGTGTTAGCAGCCCCTGCTGCTCTCCTGGCAGCTGAAGCCAGTACTGTATATACCAACATCTCTGGAACTCTTCTAAGGGCCAAAGCCAGCAGCTACCAACAACTTCCCATTGCTTTTCACCATTCTCTGGCTGTCACCTGCCCCTCAGTTTTACCAGCCCTGGCTGCTGGTCTTTTTTAACACTCTTTAACTTTAGTGTTAACAGCTCTTGGTATAACTAGCTCAGTTTTACTCTGCTAGATATGGAAATCATAAAAGGGCAAAATACACTATCTGAAAGAGATTTTATTAGGCCTTGTGCTTCAGCATAAGAAGAAGCAGTACACAGACTTCTCTGATAAGGATATGAAGAAGGGCACACCTGTAATCCCAGCACTTGGGAGGCTGAGGCAGGAGTATTGCTGTGAGTTCGAGACCAGCCTGGGCTACATAGTGAGCTCCAGGTCAGTCTCAACTACATAGTGAGACCCTGTCTGAAAAAAACAAAGAATAGACAGGATATGAAGAAGGTAGATAAAAAAGGCAGATTCACACAAGTGCAGTACCCTGCCAGCTTACAGCAAAGTTTTGCTTGGTCATGGTTGTGGAAGGAGTCCCTCATAGACCAGATTAGGGATGCAATGCTGCATGGCATAGAGTCATCCAGAGTGGCTAGAGGGTGGAGTCATTTCAGGTGAACCTGTGACCATAACTTTCTATAATCAAAGCATAAGAGTTTCCAGGTGGCCTCTGGGTGTTTGGGGCCTCAGCAGCTGGCAGAAATGGCAGAAAAAAACTTATTTCATATTACTTCTTAGGGTATTGAGCCCTTCTTCATTTGAATAAAAGTAAAAACTTCAACTACCATTGATTATTTGGTTGTTGCCACCTTAACCCAGTAACCAAACTTAATAGTATTAGTAGTGGAAGATAATACAGCTGAAGAACAGGAATCAAGGACTGAGACATCTGGAAAGTGACTAAAACAAAACACAGTGTGTTGTGGTTGGCCATTAATCAAGCAAGAGTGAACTGCCTCATTACAGTGGACAGCCAACCCAGGTTTGCTTAGAACTTTTCCAGTTATAGAATTAAAAGGCCCACATCTTGGGAAACTGGAAGCTTGTTTACCCTACTAGCTTAGTAAATTATCTTTGTACCTTTGCCCCTACGCTTTAGCTCCCTATCCCAATCGGGAGGAGGAATTAAATAACACAGAGAAATGCTAAGAAGAGTGATATTTTGTTCCACAGCTGTAGCTGGTCTCTGAGCCATCAAAGAGAAAAAGCTTTCAGATATGAGGTTTTTTTGGAGGGTGATAAAATTGTTTTTCAAATTGCGATGGTTATATAACTCTGGATATGCTAAAAACTGTTGAACACTTTTAAGTAGTTGCCTTGTATTTAATTTATATCTCAGTAAAGCTGTTTTTAAAAATGGTTGTGAGAAAGTTTCGATTAGATTGGACTGAAATGTTTTATACCTGAAAGAGACCAAAAAGCCATAGCATCTGCCTGGCATGTATCAGTCAGTAAAAGGGATTTGATATAGATGGAATGGTTGAAGACATCAGTGGAAGTAAAATATTATTTGTTCTCCAGTTTTCATCTCAAACTGGCTAAAGTACTTGAGTGGATTTTTTTTTCCCTGCAAATGAATTCTAATGAAAATATCTGAGGGATATTCATTTCATTCATTCCCATGCAGATGCTGAATTTTAACATTGGATAAAAATCACAAATAGTTGTATATTTGGATCATATTCCTCTGGGGTCTCTTTAAAAGAAAGCCATATTGACATTATGCCAATGGTCTATACTGGCATTGTATTAGAAAAAAAGCTGTGTAAAATACATGGATATATTATTGAGGTCATACAGGAATTTTTTTTTTTTCTTAAGTCTTAGTTTGAGGAGTAGCTGGACTTCTAAACAATTGCTTTGTTTATATTTTATGTATATGGACTTGTGTTATTATATAAAAAAAACCTTTTTGTCTGCCTTTTTCTTTCAAAAGGTGCCCTGAATAATGGTGCATTCCTGGTGACCTTATCAGTCATATTGGCTTCATTTCTCTTGCACATGGGAGAGTGCACATTATCCAGGCTAGCCAGTTAGAATGTCTCATTCTTTTTTTGTGTCAGAAATAGAACTAAGGACCTTGCACTTGCAAGTCTGGCATGGTATCGCTGAGCTAAATCCCTGGCCTGCCTCATTCTTTTGTCCACATTTGTTGGTACAAAGATGGGAACACAACAGAAAGAGGGCCATTTAGAATCCCTACCAAAGATTTTTTTCTGGAGCTGACAGAAAAGACAGATTTTTTTTCCTGCTATTGTCCACAAAGCCATGTATGTCCAGAAAGTCTGTGACCATCTTTACCAACTGGTAAAAGTCTTCTTCAAAGTAAAACCAACATATAGCAAACACCAGAGGACATTGAGTCTATGTTTCTAAAGCCAGATCCATTCATGGACTTTTCTATTAAATGAGCCTTTATATTTCCATTTTGTTTTTTATGCCATTGTGATTTGGATCTTTGTCACTTGGCTTGGAACTGAAAGAGGCCTTATTGTTATTGGCAGTTATTGATTGTTT